GGTTTTGGCAAATCCCCCTAAATTTATTTTATTTAATTTCCAAACATAAAACCTTAACTGTAAACTAAAAAAATCATATAATTAAACAATATAATTTTCTACTTTTTATAATTTATTTTTATTAAACTAATTTTTTAAAAAAATATTTCTATTTTTACATTATAAATTAAAATAATAGATTATAAAAATAGTAATTTTTATTTAAACATTAAATAGTATTTATTATAATATTTAATAATAATTACGAAATTAATAAATTATTGAACATTAATAAGAAAAATATTTTATTAAAGTAAAATAGGAATTATTCAAAAATAAATAGTAGTATAGTAGAATATTCTTATGTGTGATAGTATATTTTCTTCAAATAATCTAATATATAAATATTATTTTTATGTATTGAAAATTACTAATGAAATGGTCCAATGACTTTTTATCAGTAGATAAAAATAAGATTATGTTTTAATATATTAGACTAGATTTTGATCCGCGCTTTCAAAGCGCGAATAAATTTTCGGTGAAAACATATTATATAATAGTTTTTTCTCTTTATTTAAAATATGATTTAGTATAAAATCCATAACCCGAAGTCCAAGCCAAACCCAACTACAAAAATCATATCCATAACTGATCTTAAATGTAAAAACCATAAGAGATCTTGTAGGATGGTAGTGGTACATAACATATCAAAACCGTAGTGTTAATTAATAGCCATTCCAAACCAATAACCCGAAAAAACCCCGTAAAGATTTGAAAAACTGATCTGAATGTTCAAATTAATCACAAATATAAATATTTTTGAAACATAAATATATGATTCGAATCTATATTTATTTTCGAATGATCTAAAAATCAATATAGAAATTTTTAAAAATACCTTAAATATCTGTTTTTGTATAAATAAGTATTTATTTCTTATGTTTTGCTTTAAATTTTGGATTAAACTTTGGATATATCCAGACCGAACTAGTATAAGCCGCATTTTAATGATATATGATTACTTCATAGTTTTAGGATATGATACAAATTAGAACCAAAATCAATGTGTTATATCTAGACCCCAATCTAAATTTACAAATTTAGCACAATGAGATCTAGGATGTGATATAAATTAGAACCAAAATTCAAAATCCAACTCGTATCCTAATAGATACTTGAATGCTCAAATCCAACTTAAAACCTAATTAGATGGTCTAGAAAATTCTATTCAAAACTTTATTTACCCAAAATATAAATTATATATATGTGTACTTTTTTTATTGCTAAGAATGCTAATATCATATTAATGATGCTCAGATTTTACAAAAAGCTAAATCTAGAGGATACTCTACCCTGGCAAATAGAAGAAATATATATATATATATGTAATTTTATAAATAAACTTTTGTTTTTAAAGTATATTAATTAAACTAAAATTTGTATAAATACAATTTTATCAAAATAAGATAATTCATTTATATAACCCACCTCATATTAGTTTTAATTATTGATATACCATGATTTTGGCCCACTTTTAGTCATGGTATATTGGTGTTTTTATAACTATATATTATATTATAAAAACTTTTATGCATATTTATAGGTTCAGAAGTATTTTGGAAGAAAGTGATGTTTTGGAGCATTTTAGAGAGAATTTGAGAAATCACTCGATTTCGGAAGCGACCAAGACGACGAGGTCGACATGGAGTGACTCACGTCGATTGATATGCACTATGCATAATCGATCGATGCCGAAGGCGCGGAAGACCAATTCGGAAGACAGTCGACTTGAAGTCCAAACTTCACCAAATTAAGATTTTACCTCTGACGAGTTTTAACCTAAGTTTACATACTCTGCCAAAGTGTTAGAGGCAGAGGGAGATTTTTGTATTCTTTTCACAACAAAAGGTTTTTAGGATTTATAGTTTGGGAGAGAAGATGAGCAGAGAGATTTGTGATTGGAAGTTCATTGTTTTCTATCTATCTATAATTATGCAGTTTTATTACTTTGTTTGTGTTATGAATTGCTTAGTCATGTCTGAGTAATTCACTTGTTAGAATTAGGGTTTAAATAGGTTAGTGGGATTAGCCCCAACTATAGGATCGCTTCGTGTGGTATTCATTAATAGGATCTAGGATTGTTAGGTTGTTTAAGTATCCTTAGATAACTCTGATAATCTTGAATACATCATGATTAAGCTAGGATTTTACTAGAAACATAGCGAGAGTTTAATCTAGGGATCCATAGTGAGTATAGATTAAATCGCGCATAAAGCTTAATTAGCCGCATCTATCGATATCCCCATTGGAAATCGATCGACCTCGAGTAAAGTGTATCGATCGAAATTCCTATAGAATAATCGATTGACACAGTTATTGATCGGACATTCTTGTTTGGGTCAATAACACTTTAGTCAATAGACTTATATATTAAGCGAGAGCTTAGTAAATATGTTATTAAGATAGTTAAACTCTTTAATACCATGCAAACAACTAATTAGCACCTATAGGATTATAATCTCCAACACCTGAATAAAAGCCTTAAGTCTAACACTTTTCCATTTAAGTTCAAAACCCTCATCCATTATGTCGAGTAATTGTCTAACTCAATTAGAATATTTACTATTTTCTGTCTACTTGTTTACTGTGATTTTACATGTAATATTCACCTAGTTTTATTGTTTGATTAGATTAAGTGGTTCCTTAGCTCCTTGTGGATTCGATCCCTAAGTATTGCAATAGATCTCTTATTTGAGAGAGTAAATTGCTCCAAATAGCAGTAAAGAAAAACTTAAAGTTACTACTCATCGATTAAGTTGTTTGTCTTCCATTCATGATTTAATCCGTTAAAAAGATCTCTCATGCACAATGAATGCAGGTAAGTCGATAAACATTCATATATTATATTATGTGATTAGGTTAGATGTTTAAAGATCTTAGGGTTTAGGTTTAAAGATCTTACATCCAGACCGTGGCGTCGCTTTAGCAATTCCTTGACCTCAACTTGACGGGTTTTGAGGACATAGTTGGAAGGCTTAAGGTATACGAGGACGTGAGGAGAAGAAACTCAGAAAAAGACCAAGGGAAGCTCATTTTTTTGAACAATGACCAGCATAATCAGAGACACTATGAGAGTTTATGTGGTAAAGGTAGATGACGAAATGGAAGAGGCAAAGGTCGAGGTATGTTACACAACCAAGACAATGTGTCACACACCAAAGAAAAAAAATCGAAGAAAGATCGTTCACGTACAGATAAGGTAGAGTCCAAAGATCTAAAAGGTCGAGACGAACCAAAGATAAATATACTGGGTGTTGAGCAGAAGGCCGACATCCTTACAAAGTCATTAGAAAGGATTAAGTTCAAACAAATGAGGAGCTTAATTAGAGTTCAAGGAATTGATCTCTCTAATTCAAGTTGGAATTAAGGGAGTGAATGTTGGATAATTTCAAGTTAGTGGAGATTAAAAAATTAATAAGTATTTAATATGTTAAGAGATAAACAAAAAAAATGAAATTTAGAATATGAAAAGAAAGTATTTTATTTAGGTTAGGTTTGTGTTTACATATCTCATATGTTAAAAGGAATTGTCTTTCACTAGAAATACATGTCTTGTGGAGAGGTGTTCCATAAAATCTAATAGAGAAAATCATAAGATCTACTAAAACAATATTGATTTTATTTATGCAAGCCAACATCAACTTTAAATACTACTAGATTTAGATCCGCGTTTTTAAAGCGCGGGTATAATTTTACTATTTTGATCAAATTTAATTGGTTTTATAAATTTTATTAAAAATAAATACTTTTAGGTTTATTATATTAGTGTTTCCAATTTATTCTATTATATTTAATTTCCAGGAAATGTTTTCATATCCGACTCAGATTGTAGTTGAACCGATAGATCTGGCGACCTGTGTTTAATCCGATTCAGATTTAATAAAAAGTGTTTAGTTAAAAATTAGATAGAACCTTGAAAAATCCAAAACTTGCTATCAACCCATAATCCGATATCAGATGATTCGCTGATAACAAAAAAAAATCAATTTTTTAATTAAATAATTCATACATTTTGATATTATTAAATAACTCATACATTTTATTAAGTCATTTGAAAAAATGAAATAATGGTAATAAAAAGGTAAAATATATTGATATGAAAATATTAGTTTCTTTTTCATTTTAATAACTTATGAAATTTATTTTTGTTTATTTCTGATGTAAAATTTAATTTATAGTAAATTTTATAATATTTTTGAACATTCAAAATGTAAAAATGACATGGTAAATAATATTTTTATTTTCCTATATATATATATATATATATATTCAAATTTATTGTTAAATAATACTAAGCAAGAAAAATAATATTCAAATTAAATCAAAGGTATCATTTACATAAAGTTAGAGTTAATATTATTTACAAATTATGGATAATATTAGTTACCAAAAATTTAGGAAAAATTATTTTGTTTAGTTTAAATAAATAATATAGATATTAAAAATTAAATCTCAGTGGCATGGTAATGTAAATAACTTGAAAAAGTAATCGCAAAATCCTAGTAGGGATTTTGTTTTAATAATATAGATTTTATACATTAATCAGATATAATTATTGTCTAAGGTTATGATTAAAATGAGTATGGTCAATGAAAATTTATAATTAAAATGGTTTGTGAACAAAAATTGAATGATTTTTGGTTTACAAAAAAAAAAGATTTGATGATTCATTTCAACTAAATTTGAGATTTGATGATTACATTTTCCCTTTTTAAATTCCATGGGACTCCATATATTAATGAAAAGAAGAAGGGATCTTTAATTCAAAAAGAAAAGAAAAAAATCCTATAACGGTCGAGTAAGTAGATCCCGAATCGAAAAATCAGTTTCGTCATCTTAACAAACAAAAAAAAGTATAATCCTTATTACTCTCACCCTTTCCCTCTCCTTCAAATTTGAATCTCTCCTCTCTCTCGGCTCTCTCTCTCTCTCTCTCGATCCTTTATCGTTTTTGGCTTCCCATGGCGGATTCAAGATGGAGTTTCCTCCCCAAATCCGTATCCGCACACTTGAACCCTAGATCCAACATCGAAAACGCGCCTCCTCTCGATCCAAACATCCATACCCCGCGAACCAAATCAATCTCAAAATCACCGGCTCTCAGAAACCAAATCGATCGCCGAGGACACGTGTCCTCGATGATTCGAGTAAGTGAAGAAGATCCTCCTCGTTTTGATTTTTTTGAACTTTTTGGATTTTAAATCTTCTCTTTTTATTTTGTTTTTTGCAGAGAACTGCGTTGAAATCTCGGAACGATGTAGAAGAAGAAGAAGAAGAAGAAGAAGCCTTGAATCCACATGTGAAGGTTTGGTTGTTTCTATTTTTAGGACGTAATCAAAGTAGAGACAGATTCTCCTGTGGTCGTCTCTAATTAAGTGAGTCTTGTTATGTTGAAAGGTTGTGGTGAGGATAAGACCTACAAAAGAGTATTGTTGGACTGTGAAAAAGCTTTCCAATGATTCTTATTCTGTTAGGGATCGTCAGTTTACTTTCGACTCTGTTCTCGACTCCATTCATAATCAGGTTCGTCGATCTCGCACACACAATTTTGGATAATGTTTCTATGAATAGATGAGAACGTAGTCTTTTTTTCCATCAATGAGTGAATATGTTCACAAACAGTGATACACTGAAAAAAAAATAAAAAACAGTGATACACTGTTCTTCATGTTGTGCTTAGCCTGTAAATTAAAGCAAAGAGAAAACTTCACAAAACACTTGTATCAGGGTTTCTTTTTAATAATGTGATGTGAATGATAATTTACACACTCTTAGGACCCGTATTCATAATCTTAAAGAGTTTGACTCTGTGTGACTCTTACGTCTCTCTCTCTCACAATTCTGGATACGGTTTCTATAAATGGCTAAGAAAGGAGGCTTTTTTCATTTTGAGGCAAAACACTGGTACTAGTGTTTCTTAATTAATGATGTGAATGATGATTTTCAAACGCCTTTGAGTCGTGTTTTATAAACAGTTAAAAAAAAAGAAGCTTGATTACCTGTTTTGATTTTAGAAAGTTTTACCAGAATAGGAAAGGAATGTGGCATTTTACTTTGTACACTGAAAACTGAAGTGGCCATTAAGAATAACACTTACAAATTTGGTGAGCCTAAGTTGTTTTAACCCTTTTTTTCTGTTTGCTGGTGCCAGGAGGATGTATTTCAGCAAATAGGTGTTCCTTTGGTTCGGGATGCATTATCAGGTTACAACACTAGTGTCCTATCGTATGGACAGGTACTTAATGATTATGTTTGAAACCAAATAATCACCACTGGAAGTTGAATATAATCCCTTTTTTTGTCTTTGGTTTTGTGATCCTAAGAATGGAAGCGGGAAGACATACACAATGTGGGGTCCAGCAGGTTCAATGCTGGAAGATCCATCTCCTAAAGGCGAGCAAGGACTCGCGCCTCGTATCTTTCAGATGCTGTTTTCTGAAATCGAGAGAGTATGTTATGCTTCTTACTATTTACTCTAAAGCTTTTCTTAGGTGATAAGACTCGATGGTAGCTGCCTGTTTCATCAAAGACTGAGAATCTTACTTTACCATTATGCAGGAGAAGATGAAGTCCGATGTAAACTATCAATGCCGTTGTTCCTTTCTTGAGGTGCCTTTTCCAAACTCATATGAAGAAATTCTTTTTTTTTTTTTTAATAAATTTTCTAAGTTAAGCTGCTTTATCTTTCCTTGTGTCTGCAGATATACAATGGACAAATCAGTGATTTGATCGATCAAACCCAGAGAAACCTTAAGGTTTAGCTTCACTGGTCGACAGTTTTATTTCCTTATATTAATCTTTGTTGAGTGTAAGCTTTTATTTACTTGTTGCGTTGTGTCATATGGCAGATAAAGGATGATGCAAAGAATGGTACTTATGTTGAAAACTTGACTGCGGAATATGTAGATAGCTACGAGGATGTTGCTCAAATACTGATGAAGGTAGTATTTAAGCGTTCTAAGTTATGAACACTATGATGTGAAAAATTTTACACTGCACATTCAGCCTTGTTGATTGAGTTTTCATTCCTTGCCTGATTTGAAGTCCATATTCTCATGTTTTGGTGTGCACTCTGCTCTGCTTTCCAGGGCCTGTCAAGCAGGAAAGTTGGAGCAACTAGCACAAGTTTTCAGAGTTCTCGATCACATGTCATACTTTCTTTCATTATCGAGTCCTGGAGCAAGGTATAGTCACTTTTCAATTTTCTTGCGTATTCAAATCTGATGAATAACTGATCAAGTATTATCTGTGCCCAGGGAGCTTCAGCAAGGTGTTTCAATACCACCAGAACAAGCAGAATCAACCTTGTTGATCTGGCTGGAGTGGGAACAAATGTACGTGATGCTACTAAACATTGTGTGGAGGAAGAGAAATTCTTAAAGAAGTCCCTATCCGAGCTCGGGTATAACTTTATGAGAACTTTCATAGGTCTCAACTAAATATCAATAAATTTTTGATCTGCTAACATTGTCACTCCTACGATTGGTGCAGACATGTTATGGATGCTCTTGCCAAAACCGTCCACCCTGGAATATCTGACCGCAGTCTTCATAAAACCTCCTGCCTGACGCATTTGTTGCAAGAATCTCTTGGTGGCAATTCAAAACTCACTATCCTGTGCAACATTTTTCCGAGCGACAAGTACTTTCTTCACCTTGCTATCACTTATTAGTTAAATATAAATATTGCTGCCTGATTGTACCAAGTATTCAATCAATGTAATGATCTGTACAGAGAAAACACATATATATGCTAAATCTTCTGAAAGTACAAAGTTCAAAACAGTTGCGCGTTATGTTCGTTTCCCACTATGTGTTCTAATAGAGTTTGCTTGTGCAACGCAGGAACACAAAAAGAACCATGAGCACCCTTCGATTTGGTGAACGAGCTAAATCTATGGGAAACAAACCACTGATAAATGAGATCTCCGAAGAAGATGTGAATGATTTGAGTGACCAGATTCGTCTTCTAAAGGTTTACTCTCCTCTTCCACAAACCCTTTCCCTTTGTTTCTTGATTTGTTGAAGTTGGTTGTCATTCAATGATGCATATGCTTTGCAGGAAGAACTTATAAAAGCCAAAGATGATGTTTGTCACTCTGTTGGGAGTAAAGATAATCATTTCGGAGCAAGGAATGCACGTGAAAATTTGAATCAACTAAGAGTTAGTCTTAACCGGTCTCTGATGCTGCCAAAAATTGACATTGACGAGGAAGAGATAACGGTTGATGAGGATGATGTAAAGGAACTGCACCAGCAAATCAAATCCTTCCGCGGTTCATTCAGTGAGAAACAAAAGAAGTTCCCTGTCAACAGAGAGTCAGTGAGCTCTTCCTTTGTTACAGCATTCGGTGAATCAGAGCTAATGGATGATGATGATGAAGAGATCTTTTCAGAAGAAGTAGGAGCCAAAGAGAAAGATTTGGATGAATCTTTCAAAGAATGTGACGGCCACAGTGCTGCAACAATCACCAAATCAACTGAGAAATCTAAGATTAAGGATTTTGCACTGGAAAACAACATGTCAATAAATCCTTGCCGTCAATCTTTAATCTTGGAAGAACCAATCCAGTCAGAGTCTCCTAAAATCAGAAACTCTCTAAGGAAGAGCATAGCTCTTTCTTCCTCATGTTTCAGGAAACAGAATAGCATAAAGTCCTCGTGTCTTGCAGAGAGCCAACATATCAGGGCGTCTTTACGTGGGAGTAAGATATTCACAGGTTCTACAGAATCTCTAGCTGCAAGTCTGCGGAGAGGCTTGGATATTATTGAAAATCCTGCATCAAACCGATGCTCAGTCTCCTTGTCTTCTGATAAATTGACCATGCAACCTTCTACGGAGATACTGCAGGATGATCAGCTACCTCGTTCACCACTCTGTCCTTCCTGCAGACAGAAATCTGATATATTATTGAATGCTGTTGAGGGAGTAAGTATATCATTTGAAATAAGTATGTATATGGATGCCAATTAAAATGAAGCTAATATTGTTGGATTCCTTGTGTTATAGGAGGGACCTCATCAGCAAGATCTTGAAAATCTGTGCACAGAGCAAGCAGCCAAGATTGAGCAGCTAACGCTCCTGGTAAACCAATTTTCTGTGTCTTTATGTCTGTTGAAAAGTGGATCAACACATTGTTAAGCAAGTCTGGTTACTGATATCTTCTTCAGGTAGAGCAACACAAACATCAAACTGAGAATGAAACAGAACAGCTTGCGGAAGCAAGTAATGGAGAACAGTTTTCTCCAGCAAACAATAATCAGGTTTGTTGTTGTTATCTTTACATATGTCAAAGATTGAGTTGTAACATATATTCCATTTTCATGGTTATGCAGCTTCTCAGCTGTAATGATGTTGTTGAATCCAAAGAGACAAACTTTGACATTGGCGAGAAGGAGGCATTACTCAAAGAAATTGAAGATCTGAAAGGCAAATTGCAGAAACCTTTAACCATGTCCACCAACGAATTGAGATCATCTTTGTTGGCCCGTTCGTTTCAACTACGCAACAAGAATGCTGAGAAAGATATCGAGGAAGAACGCCTCAGGTGCACAGAAATGGAGAGCGAGTGGATATCATTGACCGACGAACTCAGAGTTGAGATCGAAATACAGCGTTCACGCGCAGAGAAAGCTGAAGCGCAGCTTAAGCAAGAGAAACTATCTACTGAGGAGTTAGAGGATGCACTTAAACGAGCTGTTCTTGGCCATGCTAGGTTTGTTGAACACTACACAGAGCTACAAGAGAAGTACAACGACTTAGGCTCAAGGTATAAAGCAACGGGTGAGTGGATAACAGAGTTGAAGAAGGCAGTAGCAAAGGCTGGGAAAAAAGGTTGCGGTTCCCGTTTCGCTAAATCACTTGCTTCTGAGCTCTCTGCACTTCGAGTAGAAAAAGAAAGAGAAAGAGATTTGTTGAAGAAGGAGAACGTAAGCCTCAAAATTCAACTAAGGGATACTGCTGAAGCTGTTCATACTGCTGGAGAAGTTCTTGTTAGACTCAGAGAAGCCGAACAATCAGCATCAGTTGCTGAGGTAAACAAACAATATTTTCATTTTTGAATCGATGAATGTGTTAGTGTGACACTTTTTGTTGGTTGCAGGACAAGTTTAATGAAGTGGAAGAAGAAAACGAGAAGCTGAAGAAGAAAATGGAAAAGCTGAAGAGGAGACACAAGTTGGAAATGGCAACAATGAAACAGAGTCTAAAGCAAAACACATTGCCAGAATCTGCATTGCAGCCACTGCATCAGAGGAACTTGGAGATTGAAGAAGAAGGTATATAGAAGAAGATACCAAAGTGCATAACTTGAAGACTTCTTTTGGATTTGATTGGTACACATGAGCTTCCTGTTTATTTTCCCATTTGCTGCTAATAAAAAAAGGTGAATCTCTTATTCCACAAGGCATTTTGATTATTAGTAGTTTGGTTTACCTTATTAAAGGCTTTTTTTAATTAATTTCAATATTGTGTTTGTGGCGTGCAAACTGGTCTTCTTTTGTATAACTTCAAATTGGTAATTTATATTATTTATTTATTCAGTTTTTCTTTTTAATTTGTTATTTTTCTCTCCAAATTCAAACGTTTGTTACAATACATATTTGTTCATGTGGTAATTCAAAAGAAATTCTGATGAAATACTAATTAATGTTTTTCTTTTTTTCTGCTTATTTCCCAAGATATTGCCTATAATTTTCTTGATCCTAGTTATCTACTAGTTCATGTATAATTTTATGAATATATGTGTTTTACTTGGGGAAACTGAACTCAAAGGTTGGCAACGATATTGGATACAATTTTCAGGACATTTAAGGTAAATAAGCTTTGAGTCTTGAAGATCTTCTTGTTAAATAACTATTCAAGGGTTTGACAAGTCTAACTATAACTCTAACGGACTCATATCCACCATGTAGATTGTAAAGCTCTGATTTTGGGATATGAATTGCATGAAGGTCAAACTACTCTCTAACACCATGTTTATTAAAGAAGTTCTTAGGTGGAATTCTTAGTTTCGGTTAAGATACGTTTTTTAGTTTTTAATTAAGAAAAACTAAGAACTGATTCTTAAATAAGAGATATAAGAACCGGTTCTTAACAAAAAATTATATAAAAAAAAGTACCAAATCATAAGTTAAGAATCTCAATCTCCAATAAACATATCTTAATGTGGAGTTTCGCTATAAGTTGTTCTTAACTGTTGGATGGTGCCAACGGAATAACCGATTTTTCACATGGAAAAGTTTCAATGTTGTAAGGAGTAAAGGAGATCTTCCTTAATTTTATAATAACATATTCTAAGAACAAAAAAAACACATTAGTCGACAAACTTATATGTGGTGCTCAATATTTTCTGGTGTGGTATATGTTTTTAACCGGTTTGGCTTTGCAAGTCGGTGATAAATTAATTATGAGTTTTATGTTGAAAAAAAAGTTATAATTGTATATTTATTCTAGGTCTTTTTGTTGACTAGGAGGTGTTTGCATCTTCACTCCAAATAATCATCTAGGTCCGGAATCAACTGATATTATAATCGTAAAAAGACATCTAAGTATGACGAAAATTGTGGAGAAACTTTTAAAATCTAAAGAATTTAAAATTTAAAGAATTTAAAATAAGACACTCTTTTAATTTAATTTAATTTAATTTAATGAATTTCTTGTGCATTGTTGATGTAGTAGAACTTTAAAAGGATAGAACTAGATACATTGATTCTATGAATATTCAGAAACTAGAATTTGAGAATATACTTTTTAGTGGTTTATAGAAATCTATCTAAGAAAACTCTTTTTATTAATCAAATCAAATGTATACAAACTATTTAAGTTTCAATAGCTATATATAAAAACTATAAAAATCTTAAAACGATAAATATAATTATCTAGAAATCCCCTATATATTAATTGAGGAACATTTGAAAAGATGTAACCTCAATTTTGTATTAATTAAAAGAGGCCCCAATGCATAGGTGTCATTTAATTAGGTAGTCAATTAGATTCAATTGAAAAATAAGTAAGTTCACATTGGATTTTTATAGGTTGCTAGATACATTAGTTAGTCAAACTATATGATATAATGATATGATATGCTATTTTCTTTCCTTAAATAAAACCTACGGAATTACCATAAATGACTAATTTATATATGACAATTAACGATTCTAATAATAAAGATTTGATAATAATTTATATCTCCTCCATCATTTTTTGTTTAATTTTATATTAGTAAAATAAATTAAAAATTAAATTATCTATAAAATTAAAATTAAAATTTTTTCGTATATGTTATATTTTGAATTTTCAAAAACGACAATAAATGACTAAAACTATTAAAATTATTATGTTAAAAATTAATGATCAATGGTTTAACATCCCCTATATATTAATTGAGAAACATTTAAAAATTATAACCTTAATTTTGTAATAATTAAAAAGAGCTCATGCTTACGTGTCACTCAATTAGGGAGTCAATTACATTCAATTGAAAAATAAGTAGGTCCACATTCGATTTTTATATGTCGCTAGATATATTTGTTGGTCAAGCTATATGATATGATATGATATTTATGATAGAAGCATTTATGATTGTCATGCTAAATATAATTACTATTTTATTTTTTTTCCTTAAATAAAAGCTACAGAATTACCATAAATGACAAATATATATATATATATATGAAAATTAATGTTGCTAATAATAAATATTTGATAACAATTTGTATCTCCTCCATCATTTTTTTAATTTTATATTATTAAAATAAATCAAATAATCAAATTAGCTATAAAATTAAACTTTAGATTTTTTTCGTATATGTTATATTTTGAATTTAAAAAACCAAGAATAAATGACTAAAACTATTAAAATTATTATGTTAAAAATTAATGATCAATAGTTTAACATTTTTATTATAAAAAGATACACATGATTTTAAAACCATATGAGTAAAAAGTATCATTCAATAATAAAAAAAAAAAAAATATCTATATATATATATATATATATATATATAGATTAAACTATATACCATATAAGATTACATACTTATTTTAATTTCAAAAATTTCAATGAATTTTCAATAACATTTATAAATTATAAACGTATTAAATTTTTCACATTGAAAATTTTTGTTATCAATGATTTAAATATATTAGTTCTTTTTAAAAAAAAAATTCTATTTTTTAAAGATATTAACACAATCGATAATATGGTTATTTTTGGTATATACCATACAAACCGAATGTATGTGATTTTATAAAAACCGTAAGATTTGGATATGGTTTGATTTATAATCGATTAAACTGAAACATGTAAATATGTATATCTATTTGTTACATGAGTTGAACTATAATTATGATTTGTAAATCACTTGAGTCACTTGAAATATAATTAACTAACAATTTAATGCAACTGAGGCTTCTTATTTTCTTCGTCTTATTTTGGTCATTTTTTCTTTTTTTTAATAAAAACTAAATTGAAGTAAAAATTATAAATTTGATGGACAACAATTAGTTTAAATTCTTTACAATTTTTTTAATCTTTAAACAAACAGATTTGTGTTCAATCGAAGACATATTAATTTGATGAACACTAAATATGGAAGAATATAAAAACTTTTCTTTCATGCTTTTGTTTTATTTTTATTTTTATTTTCAAAATTTAGAAATTTGATATTAATTCTAGATTTGATCATTTTATTAGATCATAGAAGCCTTTTTTGTTTTTTATTCTTTTAGTTAAATATATAATATTTTTTTTAGTAAATGACTTTTTGACAATATGACTCTAAATATGATCATATTATTTATTTTTATAATATATAATATGATTTCAAACTAAATAATGATGTATTTTGGTATAAAATTGAATAAACTGAAAACGAATATATAAACCAAATCAAACTGAAGTAAATATGGATTTAGAATGGTAGTTATATTTTAATAACCAAAATACTGAAACCCGATATCGAGATTGAACATCCTTAATCTAGATGAAACCGAACTTTTGTTTCGCTTTCCAAAACATAATAAAAATAATAACTTCATCCCGCGTAAGCCGCAGTTCTTATCCTAGTAATTAATAAATGATAAGATATCAAATATATATATATATATCTGCATCAATTGTACAAACGGGAGAAGACATTTTTCAACTTTTTATCTTCATATCTCGTACTTTTATTATCTTTTGTAAGAGATTCTTGTGATGATCAAAACAGATGCTCTGAGACAGTTTTTATCACAAGCCAAAACATTCAGATGAAGAGATGTGGACTAGTATTTTTTGGATGCTATGTTTAGGAAAAAATAATGTTTTCATAGATACATTAATTAAGTAGTAGCATATACAAACGTAAACAGCTTAGAGTTTTCATATATACGTTAATTAAGTAGTACATTCAAACGCAAACATGTGTTAGAGTTTCACAGAGACGTTAAGTAGCACATGCAGACGTAACCAATTTTTTTTTTTTTTTAGACGTAACCAATGGTTCATGTTCCAAAATGCGGTCTAAGTTAGAGTACTTGTCAATGTTAATCAACGTGTCTCAAAGCTGTAATAATGAATTCATATTGCAACTTACAACGAGAGATGAGCTGTTTCTGCGTTGTGTTCGACACTTCTACTAATTGAATTACTTCAACAATTAATAAAACGTGATTCGATTAGCCTAAACTCTTCCACTATAAATTTGTATCACCATTTCAGTTTAAACAGTAACAAAACCTAATCAAAAGATGGGAACACGAGAAGCTGTTGTTTACACTCTCATCTGCTTCCTTCTCTCTCTCCTACTCTTGTTTTGGAGATTCCTATGGCTATCTTACATTGCGGCTACGTCTACGCCAAAGCAGACCAGCCACTCTCTGACAGCTGAAAGCGACGAGTCTGAGTTCAGGTTGTATATGCTCCGTAAGTCTAAGTCCGTCAACAAGGCACTAAACGACGCCGTTCCACTTCGCGAGCCAGTACTCAAGATCCGTGAGGCCATGAGGTATACGCTTCTCTCAGACGGCAAACGCGTAAGACCAATGCTATGCTTAGCAGCATGCGAGCTCGTTGGCGGCCATGAATCAAACGCAATGCCTTCTGCGTGTGCAGTTGAGATGATCCACGCGTCGTCTATCATCCTAGACGACCTCCCTTGCATGGACGACGACAGCCTCCGCCGCGGAAAACCCACCAACCACAAAGTATTCGGCGAGGATATAGCCATTTTGGCCTCTGTTGCGCTCATGGGTTTGGCCGTCAAACAAACTTCTTCATCCACGGACGTTCCTCCAGAGAGGGTTCTCCGGGCGGTTCAGGTGATGGCTCAAGCGGTGGGAACGGAAGGACTAGTAGCCGGACAAGCGGAGGATCTAGCCGGAGAAAGAAGGAGCTTTGAGGAAAATAATCAAGAAGGGTTGGAGCATCTTGAGTTTATACATATTCACAAAACGGCTGCGTTGCTTGAAGCTGCTGCGGTGGTGGGAGCCATTATGGGAGGTGGCTCGGATGAAGAGGTTGAGAGGCTTAGAAAATACGCGAGATGCATTGGGCTGATGTTTCAAGTGGTGGATGATGTGCTCGACGTGACTAAGTCCTCAGAGGAGCTGGGGAAAACTGCTGGGAAA